CCTCTATCCCTATCCCTATCCCCCCCTCCATCTCTATCCATATCTCCATCTCCATACTCCGATCCCTGTGCCTGTATGTCACTGTATCTACCTCCCCCCCCTCCCATCTCCACGTGCCGACCCTTTCGCGGGGCTGTCTATGTACACTCCCCTCTCCCCGTCTACGACCATGTAGCTGCGCCTGCTATCCTGTGCACCCGTTTTAATCTGTCCAGGACTCACTTTGCCCTTATTACCTTTTACATCGGTCCCGTCACCCGCAGTCCTCAGTGCATGTGTTGTGCTGTGTGTTGGGTCGTCAGAGATATCTCTTCTGACACTGACACAAGCGCGTGCCTCACGTACCCCCACGTGTGGTGTGTGTGTATACTTATCTGCTTGTGTTGTACCGTATGTCTGTTTGTTTGTTTGTGTGTGGGCATGCTTCTCCACATGTGCTATATCGCCTGTCTCATTGTTATTAGTTGCTTGGGTGTGTGTATGCTTATCTGCATGTGTTGTATCGTATGCCTTATCGTTCTTATTATTGTTTGTTTGTGTGTCCTCATCTCCATGTACAGTGTTATGCCCCTCTCCTTGCACAGAAACAGGCTCTGACCGACTATCCCGAGGTTGTGTGTGTGTGTGTGTGTGTGCGTGTGCTTGCGTATGCATATGCTCTGACCTACGTTCGTGTGTGTGTGCAGGTGTGTGTCTGTGGGCGTACACATCAGTGTGTTGCAGGTGTGGCTCCCCCCGCCTATTTGTGCGCACATCCGGGTGGTGTGTGTGTGCGTATATATATGTGTGTGTATGTGTGTCTGGATACGTCTGGGGCCGAGTCTCACTATTGGGTGTGGGAGAGAACCCTACGTGTGTATTAACGTAGCTTGGCGTGGCATCTGGGAGTGGGCTCATACCGCCGATACCGCGAGCATATCCGTTTACGTATTCGTCGACCTAGTGCAGGAGAAGGGAAGGGGTAGCACTGTATGAGAAGTAGGCATACCTGTCTTAACTATTGTAACACACATCTCAATGGAAAACGTTTGCAATACACACGTATTGATATAGTATGGGGTGGTGTATGGGAGTAGGCTTATGTATGCGTCCTTTTAGGTTAAGTCCCTAAAACCCTAACTACACGAGAAGAGAAGAGGCGGCAGAGCAACTTGATGTAAGGAAACCGTACATACACATATCCAATGTACTTAGCAGTAGGTAAGAATACCAACACATGTGTATTGGGGTTTAAGGTTTAGGGTTTATATAGTTTGGCATAGCATGTTGTGCTGTGTATATAGCATATCATGTTATAGCTTGTATAGGCCTGAGGCGACATGCCCCAACAGTAGAGTATTGATCCATTTGTGGACCGAGGGAGTAGCACGGCACTAGAAGTATATGAAATGGAGTCTACATATGTGAACATGTACAAACCTTATATACAATTAGAAAATTACAATGTGAAGCAATACATGTGTGGTGATGTGGCTTGGGGGTGGCATCTGGGCGAGAGGCCTAGCACGGAGTTATGCATATATATATATATAAATATATAAGTACTTATCGGCAGAAACACACGAATACGTACCCCCCTATATATATATATATATACATATACATGCACATGCACACACACGCACATGCACACACACACACACATATATATATAGATACATACACATACATGCATATCGATACAGACATGGATATAGATACATACATACATAGAAATGTGTACTTAAGGTATGTACACACATACACGTAAACACGTACACACACATATATATATATATACATACATACATACGTACATACATATACATATAATATACATACATGAAATTAAAGGCATACATGCACATGCACCTACATATATACATATACATAAATGCTGGCGAGTGAGTATAGCACAGCATGGGGCCAGTGAGTAAGAAAAAGGCCTCAAATCAGGCCTCTCGGCGAGGTTTGCACGTATTGTTGCATATGAATCGACATCAATATCCATATCTAAGCAGGAAAACGGGACAACATAGTACACGTGTGCATAAAGACTCACATATAAACATATATACGCTATATGAGAATATACGCACCCACACCCACCCACACCCATATATATTATATCAATATACAAACAATAGAAACTACTTACTAACGGGGTTGAGTGGTGATAGCCAGAGCTCGCAGAAGGCTCACGGTTGTTGTGTGTACTTGTGTGGTCTGTGCGAGTGCCTGGTGTGTGTTTGCTGCTGTGCTTTGGTACGCGGTCGTTCGGATATCTACATTCACAAAAAAAATGAAAGAAAAGAAAGAAAAAAGAGAAGAGAAGGATAGTAAGTACATTGATATCACCGGTGTGTGTACTACTATAGTATTCAGAGCCCATTAAAGATAACTCACACACCACTCTCCATGCAAAAGATTGTGGACCCAATGACGTTATAAGCGATTGTTTAAGGTTCTAACTAGTGGTCTTGGAGGTTTATATGATCGAGCCATAGGCGAAAGGGGAAGTCACCACAAGACACAACTCATAGACGTACAGCCAAGCGCTCCAAACACTTATACTTGGGTAGTAGACAAGGATTACGTATACTACTCGGTATGATATGTACGATACTATATACATAAACATATACAGTATTATGCATATGTTTGTGTCTTAACATAGAAACATATAATATATAGAAGATAATATATAATATATATTATATATAGCATATATAATATATAATACAGAATACGTATATAGCATATAGATACTTACACCATACACACACTCACTAGACCCACCTGTACTGTGACTGCATGGCTCGGAGTTCCTCCGGCGATATCTCCTCCACAAATCTGTCCAATTCAGAAAAAGCACGCGTATTATTGGGTCACATCTATGAGCTATCTCAAAAATCAAAGCAGATTTGGACTTGACCCATTTCGGAATGTACATAAAATCGAAATTTTGGATGTACATATAGTCGAATTTCGGGATGGATATAAAATCAAATTTCAGGATGGACATATAGTGTTCTAATTACAAATTATCAAAGGGTACAAAAAAGTTTTTGACTCCCCCAAAGTTCGGGACGTTCAGCATTGCAATGCTAAGCAATGGAGGTATTGGCTTCACCCGAAGTTCGGAATGGATACCCGTTTTTAGAGGTTTAGGGCTCAAACGTACCCGTTTTTAGAGGTTTAGGACTCAAACGTACCCGTTCTTTTGGAGCAGTAGAGCGGTGAGATGGGTCTGGCTGCCATTAGAGGTGGTCTCGGGTGGATGTCCACTGTTTGGTGGGGTAAGGAGTGGTAGGCGTGAGTGTGGGAGTGTGAGAAGGTTACAAAGGTATTGTATGTTAAATGTATACACGTATATGTATTGTACATGCATGTGTATGTAAGTATGTATGTATGTATGTATATATGTATGTATGTATGTATGTATGTATGTATGTATGTATGTATGTATGTATGTAATAGATGTACTGTATGTATATATGTAATAGATATACTTTATGTATGTATGCAATACATATAGTTGACAATGTGTGTTGCATTGGCACTCGGGTGAGAGCCCGCTGTATGATGCGGATATGAGGTGGTGGGTGTCAGTGTGGATGGGTGTGAAAGCGTTAACGATATCATGCACGTACATGTACATATACATAGCCGTACACACAGACTCCGACACAGACACAGACACACATATAAATATACATACATACATACACACATACATACATACATGCATACACACACACTATACAGAGCTACATTTGAGATAGCAGCCACATAGAGAGCAATCATGGCCAGACTCTCCTTAAGCGTGTGTTACCTGTATCTGGCAGCGTACAATGCCTCCGTCAGCCTGCGGAGTGGTCTTGCTTTCCTGCCGACGGAGAGAAATGAGAGATACACAAGTGTTGGCGATATAGATTAGATGTCTGGTATATCCAAAGATATGTAGGGATAAGGTCGTTCCTGAATTGCTAAAACCTTGAACCCCTGGGATAGATAATAGCACCCAAAAGTATAGTACAGATATAATATTAAAAACATACTACATATATAATATCAATGGTATATTACATAAATAAAACCAATAGTATATTACATATATAATATTATCAATAGTATAATACATATATAATATCAATAGTATGTTACATATATATTGTCTATAGTATATTACATATATAAAATCAATAGTGCAATACCTACATTTCCCTCCGACCCCGAACCCGAACGAATAAACCAATATTCCGAGGTCAGATTTTAAAACAAATGACTAACAACATTATAAGCAACCCCACCCCACAATGAATAAACAAATAGACCTACGGACCACCGATGGCACACTCATCCACACCACACATACTATACCACACCACACCATACTATACAACACCACACCTTGATATCCCCAGATCAAGCACACGCTGGGCATTGCGCGGGTCTCTCGCTAATAGATAGGCCGCACTCCATCTCTCGTAGAATACAGCCACCAGCCACCCAATGCGAGAGTCGTTCATGTACGCGTACACGTCCAGGGGCTTCTGGCATCTATCCGCCTGCGTACGGGGAGATATAGGGCTTGATTATGAGTATGGCAAGTATGAGTGGTGGCATCGTAATATGCGATTGAGTTATATATATATATATATATGTATATATATATATATGTATACATACACAGAGATATATATATATATATATATACATACACACACACACACAGACACAGACACACATATATATATATACATACACACATACACACACACACATATATATATATAGGCTTTCGGTATCTATTAGCCTGTGTAAGTGTAGATATCGGGAATATTATAAGCAGTTCGAAGTCTTGACCCAAAATTCGCTCCAGAGCGCGCTACTCTGATGAATAGTACGGGTTTGTTTCAAAACGTTTCAAGTAACAATGCCAATTCTCTCGACCCGATATCTTACAAAAAACGGGACAGAATCTACCGATGTCCTGATTTTATGCACGGCTAGCAGGATTCATACCCCAGATTTACGATTTCCCATAAGCATATCGGGACACAACTTACAAATTTGGCCCAGACGCGTATGTACCGCACATCGTTTCTGTACTGAGGGTGGTCACGGTATTCGCGCGCGCATTTTTCGTACAGAGAAATCAGATCCACTGAGGCCATACTGGAAGTGCCGGCATATGTGACTTGCTTCTCTCTCCAGTCGATGTAGCTATGAATAGATTGGTCATGTAGGTAGGGGAGTAAAGGTAAAAGGTCAGGAGAGAAGCAACAAGATGAATGGAAAAACTTGGTTCATAAGAACACACTATAAGACCTTATCACAAATGATAACATACCATAGCCACAGATCAAGCGGATCATCGCTCCTGTCCGTTCTCAACGCGTCCTCAAAGGCTCTGTGAGTGAAGATAACCATATTGGTTAATGTTATTTCATGACACTATATATATATATAGATATGCTATTATATACAAGTATATATACATATATATATATATATATATATATATATATATAGATATGCTATTATATACAAGAATATATACATGTATATATATATATACTATTATATATAGTTTTATATACACATACATGTATGTGACACCTACTGACATCGCCAAACGGTTGATCTCGACAGAGACGAGCCACAAGGGATCATGTTGGAGTCAGGACATGCATGAGAAATAACAAGGATAGTAGACGAAAAGAATTAGTTTACTTAAAACAGCAATTGAAACTAAAAACATTATGAAGAGGACATAACACACACACACACACACAGAGTTCCAGCAGACCACAGTACTGTGCCACATAGCGTTCGTCAGTGATATTTAGAAGAAAACAAAGATACTTAGAATGCGCCTAACAATTGGCAAGTACAAATAATATGTGTTATCATAATATGTATTATGAAAATTATCAGTACTTGTAATTTGCAAGTACATACTATCTCAGGGGAGTCTCACAGGGATCAAACATGTGGTGTAGATTGCACAGAATCATATATATATATAATATGAAATACAAATACATAAGAGAACATACAGATACAAAAGTGAAATACAGACACGTAAATGAAGATACAGATATATAAATGAAGATACAGATACAGAAATGAAGATACAGATACATTAAAGAACATACAGATACATAAATGAACATACAGATACATAAATGAACATACAGATACATAAATGAACTTACAGATACATAAATGAGCATATAGATATATAAATGAACATACAGATACATAAATGAATTAAAAATATATAAATGGACATACAGATACATATATCAACTACAAATAAATAAATGAACACACAGATACTTAAAATGAAAAAAGATACGTTAATGAACATACAGACTACACAGACACATAAAAGAAATGAAGAAACACAAATGAAATACAAGTACATTAATGAACCAACAGATACGTAAATGAACATACAGACACATTAAAGAAATGAAGATACACAAATGAAATACAGATACATAACAAGAATTGAAAATAAGTGAATGAACATGCAGATACATAAATGAAAGCCCATACGGCGTGATAGCTAGCATGTGCGTAACAGACCTTGCGAATCGATCGATTCATCCTGTCCCAGTAACCGTGTATAGAAACATCCCATGTCATGCACACACTGTACAGTCTCAAAGGCATCGATATATACAATACGAGCCAAGCCTGTGAAATACCTGTAAGTCAATGGCTGCACCCGCCGCCTGACTGTCAACAGTAGTAGTATACACACAAACACATACGATACAGCGTGAGCGCACCCGCCCAGGGGTTTTAGGGTTTTGCCAGACAGACAGATACTGTCCCAGTGTACTTCTATAGGTCAGTAATGCCATGGGATAGGGTTTTTAGGGGCGTAATACTAGACCACAGGATCATTGTAATATACTTTATACAAGTCATATACAGACTCATAGCATTTACTTAATGCATGTCATGCACAGACTCATAGCATTTACTTAATACATATCATATACAGACTCATAGCACTTACTTAATACATGTCATACACAGACTCATAGCATTTACTCAATACATATCATATACAGACTCATAGCACTTACTTAATACATGTCA